GTCATTACAATTAAATAAAGTTTTTAAAATTCTACAATGGAACATTAAGGGACTTATTAATAATTTTTATGAACTCCGTACACTCATAAGTGATTTTAATCCAACCTTTTTATAGCTTCAAGAAACCCATTGTAGAAGTTCTTTTAATCCTATTCCACCCAAATCATATACTGGATACTTCACGAATGCTGATTAAAATTCATATTCCAAACAAGGAGTTGGTGTTTTTATAAAATCAAATATACCTCACAAACTCATAAAATTTATAGTGCTTTCGCTCTATATCCCACCTTCGCAATTGTTTTCTCAGCAAGAACTCTACAATTTATTCTTCGTATTCTCCCCCCCATTAATAATATGTGGCGACTTTAATACTTGGAATACCATCTGGGGCTCAACAGTGAATAATACTCGCGGTACTGTTTTAGAAAAGGCCTTCATTCAAAACAATCTCTGCATTTTAAATGATGGAAAACCAACGCACTTTTCAATTCATCATACATTTTTACATATTGATTTAACTTGTTGCTCTCCCTCACTTCTTCCTTTGGTTTCCTGGTCTATTTCTGATGATCTGCATAATAGCGATCACTTTCCAATCATAATCGATCTTAAACTTTCATCGTCCTTTGTTACTCCAGCAAAACAGACCAAATTCCTCCTAGATAAAGCGGATTGGATCAACTACTCCAAACAGGTGGAGTCATTCTTGAATTCAAAGCCATTTAACGGGAACTGCAACCATGATGCTGCTATTATGTCTAAAGCGATTCGCACGGCTGCTCATCTTTCTATTCCTCAATCCAACACCTCTGTTAAACGAGCTAGGGTTCCATGGTGGAACAACACGCTTTCGTTTTTGATGAAAAATAAAATGGATCTATGGCACCGCTTTAAGAGACGTCCTGATCAGAATCACTTGTTATTATACAAAAAGGCCAATGCTCTATTCAGGAAGGAATTACGGAAATCAAAGGCACTTAGTTTCGAACTTTTCTCGAGACGAATTCACAGAAATACATCAATGAAAGTTGTCTGGAACAAAATCAACAGACTTAATGGGACTTCAAATCTGAACGAAATCTCTGCCATCTGCACTCCCAATGGAACTTTAACTGACGCAGATGAGATTTCTTATTACTTTGGAAAAGTGTAGTGCGAATACTCCTCTGACAGCAACTTCTCCAGTGCTTTCATCGAAAATAAAAGGACTCCAATATCTCTTTCAAATAATATTGATAGATGTGCCATGTTCCTGGAAAATTGCATATCCACCTTAGAACTTGGAAGTCGTCTCTCCAAGGGAGGACAACTGGTCTAGACCGCAACTCATACCAAATGATCAGCGCTACGTCTAAGTCTAGTAAAAAGAAATTACTGGACCTATACCCTTTTGACTGGCCATATACCCTACATGTGGAAACTGGCAGCAGTTGTTCCAATTCCAAAGTCAAAAAATGTCTCCATCGCATCAGATTATCGCCCAATTTCTCTTTTATCTTGCCTCTCTAAGGTATTAGAGAAGATTATGGCATCTAGATTATCTTGGTTTCTTGAGTCCAAGAACCTGATAACAAACCAACAAGTTGGTTTCAAGCGGGGTAGAGGGTGCATCGACGCTCTGTTACATATTGATTATTTCACAAGCAAAGCAATTTCCGAACGAAATCACGTAACAATTCTTTCAATTGATTTCGAAGAAGCATTTGACATAGTTGGTCTTCATGTTATTTTAAGACTCTTGAAATCATGGAATGTTGGACCCAAATTTTTCAACTACATTAAATCATTCATGTCGCATCGGCGGTTTAAAATTAGAATCAACATTCATGTCTGTGATTCCTTTCCGCTAATGAATGGCATTCCGCAAGGATCTTCTCTTTCTGTCTCGCTTTTCCAAATAGGCTTCAACGAAATTAGCAAAATTCTTTGTCGTGTACCAAGAGTGGAACATTGCCTCTACGCAGACGATGTATACATTTTTACAAAAGAAAAAGATAGCACGAAGGCAATCAACATCCTCGAATCTATTGGACGAGAGATATCTTCATGGGGAAACTCGTCGGGGGCTAAAATTTCCATACAAAAATCTAAAAAAATGCACATTTGTCGAAAGCAGATTTGCGATGCAGAAAATCTGCTGATGCATATTAATGATTTACCAGTACTAAATGTGCCGACACTGCATATTCTCTGGCTCACACTGTCTTCGGTTAAAAAACTCCCTTTTAACAAGGGTAAATTTCATACAGTACGTTGCTCGGAGAAGTGATGCGCATATTAACACTATTGCTTATCTTACGAAAATGCTTGTGTTAAGCAAGATTGACTATGCTTTGATAATTTATGGCAATAGCTGCAAATCTAATATCAACATCCTTAAACCGGTCTACCACCAAGCAGTCAGAGCAAGTTGTTATGCTTTTCAGACGACGCCCATAAATAATATTATAATTGAAACTGGTCTCCCTACGTTAATAAATAGACTGTATGAGTTAAAAGCTAAAATAGTCCCTAAGCTTCTTAATTCAAACAAATCCATTCTCGGTGATGACGTAAGAAAGATTATTATTGCGAAGAAAATTCCAAAGTCACCATCTGCAATTTACCATTGTTTGTGCATCGCAAAGGAATTGAACATTTCCTTAAAACTTTCCCGCTCTTTTGGTGTTAAATCTCCCTGGATTTTGAAAGACTGCTCTTTTGACATCTCACTGTCTATGCACAACAAAGAAAATACTCCAAATTACGTCTTCAGGAATCTAATAGCTGAAAAACCCCAAATATTGGAAAGTATTGGTTGGAATCTTTTATACACAGACGGCTCAAAATCTTCTGGTCTGCCTCCTGCTTGTGCCGTGGTTGATGCTACAGGACGAGTTCTTTTCAACCACATATTTCACGAAAGTACTTCAACTTTCACAACCGAAGCCAGAGCTATCCTTTTCGCTGCGAACCTTGCCTATGAAAACAAACTCAAAACCGTCATTGTTACCGACAGTTTATCTGTATTACAAGCTATTCGGAATCCTTTGACTTCGAGATGGAGCACCATCAACAAATTAGGGAATATAATTACAACACCAGAGGGAAAAATTAAAATGTTATGGGTACCAAGTCACATCGGTTTATTGGGAAATGAGCAGGATGATCGAGAGGCAAAGGATGCTGCTTCTGCTCCTCTAATTATGGATGATGTCATGGAAAAGTTAGATCTTCAAAGATACATTGGAAGAAAAGTTAAAGAGAAAATTGCAGAAGGAAATTTACAATACCATCATCAACACTACTCTTGCATTAACCCTCAATTAACTCCACCTCTATATCCAACAAATGTTGAGAAAACCAAGATCCAAACATTTTCGAGAATTCGCCTTGGTCATACAATTGCAACTCACCAATGGATCCTGAAGAAGTCTTCTCCCCCAATCTGCTGTTGTGGACAAACTCTTACTATAAAGCACATTCTCTGCGACTGCCTCAACTTTTCCTTGGCTAGAAGTATTGCATTTGGAACGATTAACCCTTTGAACATTCTACAATCAGCTTCAGAACAGAATATCAATTCAATATTTTACTTTATTAATACTACTAAGCTTATTATCTAATATCCATTTATTTAAATTAGAGCCGATAGCCTGTGTTGCTAGTGCTCAATGTCTCTTTTTTTAGTCTAAGAATTCAATTCATTAGTCTAAAATTAAAATAAT